CCTCTAAGCTGGTAACACAGCAGGCAGTACGATTTTATAGACAAGACATAGTCTTGTTGACAATTAATATTTTAAGGTAATATTGTTATTTTACAACAACTTTTGTTAGACATTTAATAAAACAAATTTCAATTTTTTAAATTTATAAACAAACTGTTCAAACTTTTCTAGAAAAACTAAAATTTATTGTTGTGTATTAAATATTTTTTATTAATAAAAATTTAAGATTTGTTTTAGTTTTTCACATTATTTAGTTTTGTTTTATTTATCGTTTTATATTTTTTGTGTGCTCTATTTCTAGTGTGAGAAAGGGGGTGCCGTAAGAAGAAAATGTCTAGGGCTCCAAAGTGGGTTAATCCGGCCCTGGGTACAGTACTAGGAAAATGGTGTTAGGTATCTTGGTACTGGGACAAGTAAAAAGGTACTAGATTAGTACAAAAGTACTAGGTAGGACAACACCTGGTACAGAAGTAGCCAACTGCTAGAGCAGTTGGCTAGTTTTGGGCTACTTTTTAAAAATTATTTGGCTACAAGGGCAAAAAACATCTGGCAACGCTGCACCAAACTAGTTTTGGTTCATTCGGGAGCGAATGCACCAAAACTACAGAATTGGAACTGTTCTGAGTGAGGAACTGCTTAGTTACCCGTGTTTTCAAACTGTGGTACGAGCACCCTAGGGATACGCGAAGGGAAGGATTCAAAATGGATAAATATGCTTGGTTTTTTACGGGTGATCAATCATCACTACTGGAGTGGGTCGCTGAATTATGACGCTATCAATGATGAACAAAAGAAATTTAATTTAAAAACAATTATCTCAACTATTCTTTTGATATTTATTTATTTAAACAATACTTATCGAAGACAATGAAGATGGATCAAGTGTTGTAAGAGTTTCATTTGGAGATTATTTTGGATTCTACCGTTTGGAATTTCAGAAGGCCGAGGAGCTTTGTCGTATAATTTCGTATGACAGTTGAGTTCCGGGAGCACTTCTCGATATGTATATGATGTGGGACCGGGGTTCAAATCTGAAGACGATTGGTTGTTGGCTTTATTTGTATACGGCAACGCGACATATGGACGATCTGTCGAAGAGGGATGCCTCCCGGGAGGTTTTTTTTAAAGAAATGGCTCTTATTTGAGTGTTATAAACGTGAGAAAATCCGAAAAATAACGCGTGGCCAGCCGGTTAGAAACCTTTTTGATTCGGAGAGCCCTTTTTAGAATCACTTTCTATGGCAGAGTCTCGTAGGCCTACCCTGTCATATAAGTTAATTTAAAATTAATGGTGTTTAGGAATTGGTTTGGTTCGGGGAAGCCTAGGAATAGGCCTAAATTCGGACGTAATATAAAATCGTGTGTAAATGTTTAATGAGTTGCACTGTTTTCTTACTTTAATTAAGTTTAACTGATGATAATTGCAGGGGAATGTCTGGTACTGCATTTAAGCGGTTTCTGTATTTTGTTTTGGTACCTGTATAGAGAGAGAGAATCCTGCTTCACAGAGATATTTAATTGAGGAAGGCACAATACGAAATTCAACTTGGCTAATTGTTTCTTATTTTTTAATATTATTCAATTTTTATTTATTTTATTTTTCTCGAGCGGCACAGGTTGGTAACCATTAAACTATACTGTACAGTATTTCATATTAACGTTGACGAAACATGAACTTTTTATTCTCAATATATTGAGTTTTAGACGAGATATTTATTTATAATCTGTACTGTTCTTGACATTACGATACGTTAGATTCAGGCCTGGTAGGTATCTAGGTGGCCATGCTTCAAACCACCGCACAGCATGATGATCGATAAATTGATGATTTCTTGCGCCATGTAAGGGAGTTCTTTTACAGAACCGGTTTTGTGAAGGGATGCAATACCGGATACACCTCATGTTCAGAAAAATTAAGTTCATTTAAAGGACCTAAACAGCTGGAATTATAACTGAAATGGCGGCGAATGATTCCCAGAGAAGACAGACTTTACAAATCAACAGATTTCGTTTGGAAAAGACACTTTGCATTCCACTATATTATTAAAGACTGGAATTTTACTAACAGAAGTATTCTCCAAAATGCTGAGGGAGAGTTACTTTGATGTAAGTTGTAGATCTAATTCAGTACTTTTTTATAAAACTGCAATTACAGATATGTTTTAACAGGGAAAATTAATCAAGATTTACTTGAGGTAAGCATATGAGCTAAATTAAAGAAATCTACATCAATTGCTGTACCAACGTTTATACACTTGTACCAACTACTGATGATTTATTGCTTGATAAAACCATTCACATGTGGAAATTACACTATTAATGTCTGTGATTTTCTCTGTAGATATCTGAAGAAAACTGTATGCCAACTTTGCATTGAGGCATTTTCTACGTGCAGTACTTTTTTCAATTTAAAGAAGCTAAATTTGTTAATGTGAAAAATAGAATTGGATTAATTTATCTAAAACATCTAAATCACATTCAGTAGAAAGAAATCACATTTACTTAAAGATGCACAAACATTTTTAGCCTAGTTTATACTCTATTTTCAGATGCATTTTAAAATAAAAGATGCAAACGTTTGTACATCTTTAAATAAATGTTTTTCAGCAATCATACGGAGATTAGTGATTAATTAATAATTATTTATCCAAGACTATGGATTTGACTGTTAATACAGAATTGTGAGGAATATTTTGAAGAGCGTTGTAAAGAAATATCTAGTTACGAAGATTGCGTAGAATATGCAGCAGAGATGCTCACTTACATAATTCATTATTACGTTTAATTCAGAGTGTGCCAATATGCGAAACAAAAACAATATTTGCTTTGGTTGAAAGCAAGAAAAACAAACAACTTTTATAGATACTTTATTGCAATACAATAATTTTTTTATTGTATTATATTAATTAAATAAATGACTGAAAACAGAAAATGTCTAATTATTCTCTCTCTGCAAAACTCAACCTAGCCACACCACTGTGGGCTTGGCCGAACCCATAATGGGCTTGCTAAAAGAAGCCCTCTTAGTGTCCACAGGGCGGAAAGAATTTAAACCCCCCAGGCAGTTAAGGCGACGTTCTACTGCTCTGGGAGACCAAGGATTGAATCCAGGCGAAAAACTTCAGGAATTTTTCATGAGCGGTCCATCACGAATATTTTGATTTCCGTGCTTCGTCATCCGGCTGCACCTGTTGTGGACCTAACCGGACTTGCTAAAAAGGACTCTTAATGCCCAATTGGAAGATGTGTCCACGGGACAAAATAGTAAAACATAGGAAATATAAATTTATTAATTTTTCATAATTTTATGCAAGTATATTGCTAGAATGATTTAATAAAAGAACTTAATCCAGTAACGTTCAATGTGATTCCGATCAGTGGCGCGTTATCCTATGGACAGAGCAATTACCTGGGGCCCTCACTGACAGGAAGATCCAAACCAATATTTCATAAAGAAATATTTATCCCCGTAGAAAAATGTCTGAAATCAGCACTTTTATGGGGTCTCCTAATTCAAATTTGCTTGGGCCTCTATGAAGCAATAACGCGCCACTATTTCCTATTCAATCGGAATCATATCAAAGTATGTTTATTTTGTCTGTTATGTTTCGTGAAAATATGAAGGAAAAAGGTTATTTATTTATTTATAATTATTGACGCCTCTTCGCCATATCCTCTTCTAATCCACAATCGGGTTTCTCCTCGCAACAATAAGTACAAGTTTCCTGTGTCGCTCCATAACTTTTACTAATGCACGTATGACCACACTCGGTAGCGCAACGTCGTTCCAGAGATACCAAAACGCCCATAATTCTAATTACGTCTGCCTGTAAAATAATAAATACGATTAATAAAATAGTTAAAATTATTTATCATAAAATTGTTTTTATTAATTTTACCACGCAAAAATTCGAATTTGGACTGCACGTGGTTAGATCTGCAACATCTCTTGGCATGAAACATGTATCGTTTAAGTCAAAACTGGAAGAAAAATCTGCTTTGCACACGTAGCAAGTAATTGCTCCTTTTGCTCCTTTTACTTTTGTTGGTATTTTAGCAACCTCTAAAAAAATAGCAAATAAATAAATATATATATAACTCTTATTCAAAGTATAAATATTACAATAACGTTGAAGTTATTTATAAAAAATTATACATAAAATATTACATGTTAATTCTATCGTAATACAAATATATTATACCGTTTTAATATAATGTGATATACACTATAGTTCTGTACTGTAAAAGTAGTGTATACTGTAGTACTATATACTACTCTTACATAAAATTAGTATTATACTGTTTAAGTACAGTATACGCTATTCTATGTAGTGTTTTATAGAATTTAATGCATCAAAATTAATATTCTGAACACATTTGTTACAAAAAAAAATGCAGAGGTTTTATAATTAATTAAATGTTCAAATGTTTCAATTTTATTCAATAAAAATAACTAGGGTCATAAAATGTAAATTATTACATTTAATATAATTTTATTCACATTTACACGTTTTGAATTAATTTCGGGTATAATTTGCTGTCATACAACTCTTACGTAAAATGTAAATATTCTCGTATACAAAAACGCAATATACCTTCTTTCATAATAAATAAAATTGACATACAAATAAAAACATTATCCAATTACCATACTATTTATATTATATTTAATTAATCAATAAATTAATATTTATTATATAATTTAGAATATTCTGGAAGAAACTGGCAACGCATTCGCACGGTAAGCGGGAGTTGCGGGTTCGAACCCCCGCTTCGGACTGATTCTTTTCTTCCAGATTCCTATCTGTAGAGGTCGGTTAATGCTTTAACTGCTTCGTAAACTTTCCAAAAACTTAAGATATATTAATACACGGATTTAGGAGGTGGGCAGAGCACAGCTGCATTCACTTTCTGAGTTTTTTCCCCGTGTAAAACCTAGCAGGCTACCTCAGGTAGTAAAAATTTTGTATGGCATATTGTTTCCTTTCTGCACCCTCTCTAAAGATTTTTGTATCAAGCAGGTTTGTACTGCTTGATACAAAAATCAGAAATAGCATTCACTCTTTAAACATCTTGTTTTTGCATTAGATAAACCATATTATGTCTATCATGCGTAAAACTATTTATATTTAGTGAGAAATCCAGAATCCACTGATACAGACCACACCACTATTGATTTACTGCTTTTCTGAAAATCTTTAAATCACTTTTATACTCCTACTGATATAGCAGTATTTTTCAAATTTTTACTAATAGTAGCACCCAAACTTAGTAATTTTTGGGGGATACCCCTTTTATGGGTATAGAATTATTGCGTTTTTCGTGGTTTTACAGTAAGAAGTGTTTTCTTTTTAACTTTCTCTACCCCGAGGGCACTAATAAGGGTGTTTTCAGAGAGCTTGTAATAGGCCTTGCCTGATGAAGAATGGGCCTGAAATATCCTCGAAAAATTTATGGGATTTTTCGATCAGTCCGTATTCGATTACGGGTCCCTCAAACGGTAGGCTTCCACTTTAACTGCTAAGCCATTATATTGAATTACTAGTATTTACTGTATAAGTAATGTGTAAAATTATACTAATTTTGAAACAAAAACATTTAATAATTTATATAATTCACTTGAAATATTTCAATTAAAAATTTAATAATCAATAATAATTATTTCAACAATATTTTGATACTTATTATTAAGGAAACATTGCTTATCGAAGATAATGAAGATGGCTTTGTGTATTGTAATTACTTTATTTAACGAACTTTCGAATTTATCATTTAGAATTTCGTAGAGTTTGATGCTTCGATTGGTATGAATTTCGTATAATAGTTGAATGCACGAATGTACTATACGCCTTCTTCTGATATTAGACTTGGGGGCTCAAATTCAACGCCTGTTTATACAGTTACATGATTGATATGGCATTCGTTGATACACGTTTGATAAGTATTTAGTACAAATTACACGGTTCATCTGCCCAGGACACGACAAACTTCGGCTCCAGGTTAGTATGTATCATTTAGTGCAGTGGTTCTCAACCTTTTTTGTTGATGTACCCCATTAGCCCATTAGTTGTTTCTCAAGTACCCCTTATATTTTGGTATGTAAATTTTATAATTACTTCGTTAGATGTATACAGCCCTTATAACTGAGCGCCATAAAAAAACTAACTAACTAACTATAACTAAAAGTGAATTACTTATTTTACGTAAATAATAATAAATTTAATCAGGTACATACATTTATTTATTATTATTTGACAAGTTTATTATATAAAATCACAGAAGTCATTTCAATACATGCATAAATTACATTTCCTAAAAATAAATAATTATAATTAACAATAAAGAAAATTTAAATTGTTATACAATAATTTGTAACAAAAATTTAATGGGATATTTGTTGCAATAAATCTTCAGCAATTTTTTTTCAAAATTTGGTTCCCACGTTGTTAAATAGAGATTATAATTGTATACTGACATTGAAAGTAATGGCTGAGAATTTATAATGCGCAGAACAATACATGAATCTTTCAATTTTTGTAACAAATGTAACGTCTAAATTTGCTAAATATCAAGTAATGCGCGCATGCAGTGACACATATTTCATGGTGGAAGTACAGTATAATCCAGGCCTCATTATTCCTTATACCAGTAGTCCAGTAAAAACACGAAAAGCCCCAATCTTATCGAGCAATAGCGAGGTTGCGGCCGAAGTTTTCATCTCTAAAACGTGAACGTCGAACGTCGAGCGCCGCTATCTTGTAAGCAGCGCTCGACGTTCGACGTTCACGTTTTAGAGATGAAAACTTCGGCCGCAACCTCGCTATTGCTCGATAAGAGTACGAACGTAGGGTAAAAACCCCCCTCGATAGTAGGGATGAGTTTTATAAAAGACTGTAAATGCTAATAACCAGTAAAATCGGCATTAAGTCCGACCCTACTGGAGATACACACACGAACGCCATTATCTCCCCACCCCCTCGACCTTTAACCACTAAAATTTAATAGCATCAATCCCCCTAATAAACAAACCTCCCTGCAAAATTTCAGAAATTTTCGACTAAAAGCACAGGAGTTATTAAACTTCTCACAAGGAGTTATTAGTCCCCTCACAACATCTCGTAGCTTCGACACTGTTACAACTGATAAAAAAGATTAAGTAAGAGATTTTACAAACAAAATATGTAATAAAATAATTAAATATTATAGATATAAAACATTGGCACACAGAATAATATTTAAAAGTTGTAAAATTTTCTATAATCGAAGAATATCCTTTCACATCTCTGTACTAAATTGCGTTGGCTAATTAATTAATAAAGCCGAATGCTCTTTACTGTGTAGTAAAGTTTCCACACAAAATGCGTATTAATTTGCATTTAAATGGAAAGATTGAGAATAAGAGCGGATGAAGGAAAGCCTCATATACCGGAAGATGATAACATTTTATAAAATTATTCAATGATTGGCGTACAGGAGTTAAAAATCTACACGCGACAACAATATTTTTCTCTATTTCCGTGTTCATAACTTTTATGTTAACGAGATAAATGGGATATTTTATTAATAAGTTTCTGAATTTTATATTAACATATTCATTTGTACGTAAAAAAAGGTATAAAATAGACAAAGTAGCCTATATTAAATTCATCATTTTTTATATCAATTAACTTTAAGGGCCGTCCATTAATTACGTGTACAGTTTTAGAGACCATTTCTCCCTGTTAAGAACAAATTGTATGTCATTGAAAATAGCCTACGTAGACAATTCCTCGATCCCATTGTGATCAACGATGTACGTTTTGCCACCCCTCCCTCCTTTAAACTGTACACGTGACGTGACGGTCCCTAAGACAATTATCTCGTTTAAATAACACGCTTTATTTTAAGAATTTTCTCACGTTTGTCAAGAAATGTATTAATTCTTTTTTAGGTTACTATTTATTTTAGTATGTGGCCGTCTAGTTTCATCGAATTTTTGAATTTGAGTAGGGTGTGACCGTCATCGCGTGTCAGGTAACTTCGCGTGTAGAGTAACTCTACAAAAACTTTGCATCCGTTGACCGTTTCTTTTTATAAAACATTAGAATAATTTAGGATCGGAAGCCGTTTGAACTATATTTACTGACCCAATTATTGTTAAATACAAAACAGTATAGCGCGAGAAATTTGTTAATGTCGCAGTTGTCGTTTCTTTACGGATACATTTTCAATTATTATCGATCCAAAGTCTCTTTGAATTAAACGTGTGAGCGTAGGAAAAAAATTTTGAGTAATCTTTTTCCAAACTAACCCCAAAAAAGGGACTTTAGATCGAGAAAGGAGACAATCCTGATGATTTGTCCTGTCTCAGGATTGCCTCCTTCCTCACCTTGTTCCTCTCATTGCGGAACCTTCCTTACCTTGTCAACCCTGTCGTCCCATTGTGGTCCTGTCAAGTCCACGATGGGCATAGTAAAAAAGGACGTCGAGAGCTTGTATGGGCCCTCTTGTCGAGCAACTCCCTTTCTTATTTTTTTGAGCAAATGAAATATGTAGAATGTATTTTTACCGTATTAAGATTTTGCTTTTGTTACTAAAAATAAAATTAATTTATAGGGATAGGAACCATTATAAGTTTTTTTTCTATCGCTGGAGAAAAATTCCTAGTTTATCTCCTTTCGACTGTTCTAGCTTCTGATGTCCACAGAACGAAGAATAAAAAAACAACAATAGAAAAACTAATAATTTCCGAAATTGTCATCTTTAATTTAAATATTTACATTTTTTAAAGTGCAGTAAAATAAAAATTTTGTCTATTTTTCAAATGTTAACTCGATTTTCCGCACTTGCGTTGACGTATTCACATCCCAGATTGATATGCATTCGTCATTTAACTTTGCCTTTAAACAAAAAGGAGTTGGGTTACGTTACGAAGAATTTATACCAGTTCTTACGATGTTAAGGAATAGAATACAAAAGTTCAACTAACGATGGGATTAGAAAGAATTGGTGTTATAAATCGTATTCATTTTAAAAACATCGTCATCCCATTTACATCGGCGCAAAGATTACAACGAAGGCAGT